TATTCCATATACGATTTTAATTTAAAAACTATAGACTTTGGTAGCGTAGGCACAATCTATTAATTTTCGTACATGTTTATATTTAACAACAATAAAGTAATTTGTTCATGCAGCGGAATTTGTTAAAATGGACAAGAAAGATGAACAATATTGGATGTAATTAATTATAATTGTATTGACTTACTGATCTTGTAGGTGGATATCCCTTTTGCAATATTGATTGAATTTAACAGTGCCGACTAATGATCTCTATATATTTTTGTACTATTTTTCAACTAACAAGTTAATCATATCGATGTAGTTAGTTATTATTACATTGGGGCTGCAATGAAATGTAGTTAGTTATTTGTTATTTTTATATGAATTTGTATTTCACCTCAAAAAGAAAGTATTAAATCCGCTTCACCGAGACAATTTGAAACTATAAATAAAATTAAAAACGATTTTTTCTATAATTTCCTATAAAATCGTATACAGGTTCTAAAGTAAGTAAGTGTTGATAAATACGTTACAATGCCTACTATTTGTTTGTAATTACGTGTAATGTTGCTGTGCTACTATTGTTATATTACTGTGATAGAAGCGATTATACCATCAATGTGTCTGAAAAGTTAGTAATTTTCTACATACCTTTTAAATATATATAATTAATAATAATTAATAATAGTCAGATATTTTGTGTTATGGTCTGTTGCAATACACGTTAATAGATATTTACCACAAAATGTCTTAAATTGTGAATTTTCTATACCAAAAATTGGAAATGGTAAATATCATCACTGTTTAATTACGATTGAAAGCAATAATTTAATTCAGTGGATATGGAATAAAACGAGGCCCATTTCTTTACTATTTTTGTTAATGTAATGTTCATTAATTAATTATTATTTACATATTATTTTTAAAAGGTCTACTTAGTGTATAGGTATTTTAAGTTTACTAATATTTTAAACGAGGTGCTTAACTAATGTTTGTGAATACCATAACAGAATATGATTTTAAGGACGACAAGAAACTAAATGCTTATTATTTTATAGTACGTTTACTATATTTTGTCATTAAGAAATCACTAAATCTTTCCAATGAAAGACTCCAATATTATTGGCTAGTGAAGTAAAATATTAACTTTTCTACTATAATATCCCCAAAATGTGGTTGTCGCCGCTACAAGTAACAATTTTTGTTCATGTGTTTTTAGTGAAACTTGTATAAACTTGTTTCAAGTTACGTCTAGGTGGTCTTGTAGAATATGAGTAATCGCGATAAGAGGAGTGCATCCTGTCTGGATTTTCGAGACTGCCATATGTTCGGAGGGTGGACGTTGTTTTCTTTTCTGTTATACGTTACTAGTTTGAATTTACATCTTGTAGTTAATTAAGTGGGGGGAGGAGTGCACCCCCGTTGAATTCCGAGATTGTGGTCAGGGGAAGTTAGTGTTACGTTATTTACTTGTTCGTTCTGAAGGGAAAAGGACGTGTCTACGACTGAACTCTCAGTGTTTTAGTGTTTTAAATCTCAAAATATAATTCTATTATTGTTTTTACTACTATTGTTATTTTTTTCATTTATAGTCCTTTATAAGACATTGTTTTATAATATAATAATAAAATATGTTAGACTTTTTAAACATTTTGGATAAGCATAATGATTTAGACACAAACATTTGTTCCGATTTAGGGGAAATTGGAGAGATAGAGGGTGATGTGAATCTAATTCATTTGAACATAAGAAGCTTAAATAAAAATTTCGATGAGTTAATGGTTTATTTAGATAAAAAAATAAATAATATAGATATTATTGTTTTATCGGAAACATGGAACATAGAAAAGATGAGCAACTTTAACATACCTAATTTTACACTATTTTATAATGACTCAAAATTTAATCAAAATGACGGTCTAATCGTTTATGTAAAAAATACTTTAGTTATCAAAAATATCAATACTGTTGCCTTAAGAGAAACTAAATTAATAAGATTACAATTTGTTGGAAGTGATAATAAAGAAATGGGTTTAACAGCATCATATCGGCCACCTGCTACAAATATGCAAATATATGAGGAAGATTTACAAAGTTATTTTTTAAACTTAAATAAACAGAAAATTGAAATATTTGTAGGTGATATTAATATAAACATTTTAGATACATTTTCTGATAATATAAATAATTATTTAAACTTGTTAGCAGAACATGGTTTTATTTCATATATCAATAAGCCAACAAGAGTAACCGACCGAACAGACAAAGAGTGCTATTGATCATATATTCATTAGAAAAGACCATAACTTTCATAAAATTCTGATAACTCCAATGATTATACAAACATATTTAACAGACCATTATCCCAACTTTTTATCAATAAAACATTTCTGTGAAGTGTTACCAAAACAGGAACCTAAAGTTAGAAATAGTATTGATTTTAATAAATTAATGTCTACAATAAGTCATGAAAAGTGGGAAGAAGTAATAAACTGCAACGATGCACAAATTTCATATAATACATTTATTGTTACTTTAAAAAGATATATAAACTCAGCAACAAATAGTTATACTTTATTTTCAAATAAAAATTTTAAAATAAAACCCTGGATAACTGCAGGTTTGGTAACTTCTATTAAACGAAGAGATACGCTCAAAAAGAAATTATTAATTAGGAAAACAGAACAAGCTGAAAGAGAATATAAGGAATATAGAAATAAATTAAATAAACTTATAAAAAATACAAAAAATAATTATTACAAAGATAAACTCTTTTCTGTTAAAGGTAATTGTAAAAAGACTTGGGATGTTGTTAATGAGGTATCAAATGGTGGAAATAATAAAAAAACGGTCAAGGATATACCTATTAAAAATTTACGTGGTGAAGCTATCATTGAAAATCCAATGAAAGCTCAAATTTTTAATGATTATTTTGTTAGTGTTGGTTTGGAGATGGCTAAGAAAATTAAAGAATGTAAAGCTTTACCCGTAAATTTCTTACACGAAAATCGCTCTGCATCATCACTTTTTCTTGAACCTGTGAATGAAAATGAAATAATTGAGATAATAGCTAACCTGAAAAATAATTGTTCGCCTGGTCCTGATGGGATAACTACTAATGTAATAAAAAATGTACATAGAAATATTGTCGCTCCATTAGTTCATATTATAAATTTAACATTTAGAAATAGTAATATACCTGCACAATGGAAAGAATCGAATGTTACACCAGTCTTTAAAACGGGAGCACATGATGAATTAATAAATTACCGTCCAATTTCTGTGATAAATAATTTCGCTAAAATTTTTGAACATACCGTTAAAACTAGATTAATTTCTTTTTTCAATATGCATAATATAATCACTAAACGGCAATTTGGTTTCATAAATAAATCTAATACGGAGGGTGCTGTACTCGACCTTGTGCAGGAAATTGTTGAATCCTTGGACAAATCGGAGAGGTGTTTAGCCATCTTTCTCGATCTGGCCAAGGCTTTTGATACAGTGTCACATACTATATTGCTAAACAAGTTGGAACATTATGGTATCCGTGGTCCTGTTCTAGATATGTTTCGAGATTATCTGTCACATAGAATACAAAGAGTTAAAATAGACAACTGTCTGAGCGAACCTAAAGAAATTCTTGTTGGTGTACCACAGGGCACAGTTTTAGGTCCTATATTATTCCTTGTGTATATTAATAGTATCAGTTGCATAAAAAATTTCGAAGGTCACCTTATTTCGTATGCTGACGATACTGCAATCATTTATTCTGGTAATTACTGGCCTGATCTGTATAATACTGCTGAATCTGAATTTAAAAAAATACAAATGTGGCTTAACTTCAATAAATTAAGTTTAAATATAAAAAAAACAAAATTTTTAACTTTTCGTTTAACAAATAAGGATCAGCCTAATACCGAAGTGTTAAAAATTCATAACACTGATTGTTCTAACAATAATGATTGTCTGTGTCCTCATATACAGAAAGTACATGATATTAAATACCTAGGTATTATCCTGGATCAGCACTTAAGATGGGATGAGCATGCTTCTTATGTATCAAGAAAGCTTAGACTAGCACACCAATTCTACACTTTAAGACAAATTTTATCACAACAGAATTTAACCATGTTATATTATTCCTTAACGGAATCAGTCATACGGTATTATATAACAGCATGGGGTGGTTTAAGTAACACCTTCTTACATAATGTTCAAGCTGCTCAAAACACCATAATAAAAATTATATTTAAAGGAAATAAATTTTATTCAACTGATCAGTTATACAAGGAAACAGGTTTTTTAATGTAAGAAATATTTTTACCTATCATTGTTTGCTGTGGACTTTCAACAATAAAACTACATATATTGTGCAAAAAAATAAAGAGACCAGATTTGTAAAGAATTTATCTGTAAGCCTGCCTTTATTTAAAAAATCCCATACGCAACATTCAATATTTTTCTATGGCCCTAAACTCTATAACATGCTTCCAATTGAAATAAAGAAGGTTGAACATTTAAAAAAATTCAAAGCCTGTGTAAAATTATACATTAAACAACATCAAACTTTTTTCAATATTTATTAGTAATAACTTGTACCTACATGGTGCATTGTGTATTCGCATTGCTCGTCTCCTCTCCTTTTTTCTCCTACATTTCTGTTTTCTGTGCTATGATTAAAATATTAGGTATATTGCTTGTGCTCTCTGTGCTATAATTTAAATAGTAGGTCATTTTGAAAGGTTATAGCATTACAAACACTCCGGTGTTTAGGCTAACCTTTAAATTTACATGTACATATGTGCATTTAATTTAATTTAATTTATTGTAATTATTGTAATATATTGTAATACATACTTCATATTGTAATACATACTTCATATTGTAATGTTCAATTGAAAGCAGAGTTTACGGTTAAGAGTTGCTATTAGTTCTGAATTATTTTTTTTTGGTAGTGTTCAAAGTCATTGCCAATTTGAAAGTAATTGTAACAATTTTTCTATTAGAAAATGAAAATAATGGTNAAAATAGACAATAGAGACAATTTGTGCTTACCTCGCGCTTTAGTAGTCGCCAAGGCTCATGTTGACAAGGACAGTGAATACGTAAAAGTGCGTCGAAATATAAGAAAAATCCAGACACAAAGAGCTTTGGAACTTTGTCGAAACGCAAATGTATCGATTCCTGAAGAAGGGGCTGGTATACCAGAATTGCAGGTACTACAAAGATACCTTTCCGGCTACAAAATTGTAGTCTACAGTTATGGAAGTAAAGGCCGAGAAGTGATTTTTAGCGGTAGTGGTAACGAGGGAGCAGCACTTAATTTGTTCCACCACGAGGGTCACTACAATGTGATAACTTCTTTGACGGCTGCTTTTTGCTGTAGTTATTACTGCGAGCGGTGTAACATACCATATGATCACAAAAATAAGCACAGGTGTGGAGGTACATGTCCATGTTGTCAACAATCACCCACTTGTCCTCCAGCGCTAAAAGTGCTATGTGATTACTGCAAAAGATCTTTCCGTGGTCAAGACTGTTATAAAAACCACAGAAAATCTGGATCACTTGGGAAAAGTACGGTCTGTGAGCAAATTACGTGTTGTGAGACATGCCTCAAAACCGTAAAAACAGATAGAAAACATCTTTGCGGTGAAATATTTTGTAAAACCTGTTCTGCATTCGTACCCCAAGATCACATGTGTTTCATTCAAACCGATAAAGGAAGTCCGAAAACCAAAGACTTTCTATTTATTTTTTATGATTTTGAAACGCGACAGGAAAAGCAACAAGATGATGGCTCCCTCCTTCATAAACCTAACCTGTGTGTTTTAAAACAGTGTTGTGACGAATGTATTAATAAGGATATTAAGATTTGTAAAAAGTGTGGTGTTCGTTTACAAGTGCTTCAATGTGGCGATCCCGTCTCACCCTTCATGCATCATCTGTTAACGTTGCGAAAACAATTCAAACAAGTGGTGGTATTAGCACATAATTCCCAATCTTTTGATGGTCAATTCATCCTCAATTATATTTTGACAAAAACAGATCTCAAACCGGAATTAATTATGAGAGGAACCAAAATCATTTCGATGGAAGTAGAGAATGTAAAATTTTTGGACTCTCTGAATTACCTACCAATGGCTCTTTCAAAATTACCAAAAGCTTTTGACTTGGGCCCTGAACTTAAAAAAGGGTATTTTCCACATTATTTTAATACAGAAGCAAATCAAAACTACATCGGCCTCTTACCTCCTCAGGAATATTATAGTCCTGATACAATGAAAACAGAAGATCGCGAAAAATTTCTACAATGGTACGAAGAACATAAAAACGATGAATTTAATATGCAAAAAGACATTGTGGAATACTGCGTATCTGACGTAGAGATATTGACAAGGGCTTGTCTTAAATTTCGTCAACAGTTGATGGAAACTACAAACGTTTGCCCCTTCACAGAAGCTTGCACCATTGCCTCTACATGTAACAAGGTGTTTAGGAGAAATTTCCTTAAACCTAACACAATAGGGATTATTCCAAAGAGCGGATATCGCTGGCGAGATAACCAAAGTAAAATCGCTATTCAGTGGCTTGTTTGGGAAGAAAAGCAGAGAAATGTAAACATTCAGCATGCTGCTAAACAACAAGAAGCCACTATACATGGTGTTAAAGTTGATGGTTTTTGTTCTGAAACAGAAGAGGTATTTGAATTCCACGGTTGCTATTACCATGGATGCCCTAGCTGCTTCAAATGTAACAGAGGTGAACCATTACAAGATAATCCCGCAGAAACTATGGATTTGAGGCATGAATCTACGATATCTAAAACAGATAGGTTGAAAAACTTGGGGTATGAAGTTATTGAAATGTGGGAATGTCAGTTTAGAAAAATGTTACAGGATAATGATGAACTGCGAGTCTATTCCGGGGGACACCCGCTAGTTACACTTACCCCTCTCAACCCTCGAGAAGCTTTTTACGGTGGAAGAACGGGTAACACTAGGACGTACTATAAATGTCAACAGGGCGAAAAAATTAAATATGTCGACGTGTGCTCTCTTTATCCTTATGTCTGTAAATATGGTAAATTTCCTGTGGGTCACCCTGAAATCTATGTTGGTGATAACCTTGATCAACTAAGTTTAAACAACACTAATGGAGTAATCAAATGTAAAATATTGCCACCGAGGGAACTGTATCACCCCGTACTTCCAACAAAAATGAATGGTAAATTAATGTTTGTTCTGTGTCGTACATGTGGCGAGGAAATGAATCAGGGAGAATGTACACATAATGTTGATGAAAGGTCATTAACGGGTGCGTGGATTATCGACGAGGTATTGAAAGCTTTAGAAAAAGGTTACAAAATATTAGATGTGTATGAAATTTGGAAGTATAGTACTCAACAATATGACAAAACTACAAATATCTCAGGACTGTTTACGGACATGATGAATAAATTTATCAAAATTAAGCAACAGGCGTCCGGCTGGCCATCAAAGTGTGTTTCTCAAGAGCAAAAAAACCAATATATTGGGGATTTCTTTAATAATGAGGGTATAAAGTTGGAATTTGCTGAAATCGTGAATAACCCTGGTTTGCGTTCTTTAGCAAAGTTAATACTGAACAGCTTTTGGGGGAAATTTGGACAAAGGGAAAACCAGCCCAAGACTAGGATTGTCCGAGACCCTAGCGAACTATTTGGTATGTTTGCAAATCCCGGAATTTATGTCAATACATTGCTCCCCATAAACGACGAAACACTTGTTGTTAATTACGAACATAGGGAGGAGGTATACCAGCCCCTATCAACAGTAAATGTAGTGACAGCTGCATATGTAACCGCACAAGCCAGGTTAAAGCTGTATGGTTACCTCGAGCAATTGGGTGATAAAGTTTTATACTATGACACAGATAGTGTTATTTATGTGTCTAAACCTGGAGAGTTTGATGTGCCAACAGGTGAATTCGTTGGAGATATGACCGACGAATTAGAATCGTACGGTTTCGACAACTACATTACAGAGTTTGTGTCTGGTGGACCTAAAAATTACGCTTATAAAGTGTTTTCAACTCGCGATAATGAACAGAAGGTGGTCTGTAAAGTTAAAGGTATTTGTCTGAACTATGCGACATCTCATCTAATAAACTTTGAGAGCATTAAAGATATGGTCCTCAATGATGCTGCCCCCGTACACATAGTGTCAAAAAACATTCGTAGAACGAAAGAGCATGAAGTGGTGACGATAACTGAAACAAAAACATACAAACCCAATTCAACTAAAAGAATGTTCCTTGACGATCACAATTCTATTCCGTATGGGTATAAAAAACAAAGAACTATATCTTAAATGTATCTTAGCTATTATAATTTTGCAATAATCATTAGCTTCTAGTAGTGAATGTAAAAACACCCTTTGTTAATATTACTTTATAAATCTGAACAATAATATCTAAACATATGTATATGTCTTTACTATTATAATCGAAATAAATTATTGTTTCAATAATTTTATATAGTATTTATTTAGTATTAGTAGTATTTAGTATTTAATCGATTTAAATTCATTTATGTTATTACTGCTTTATATATCCTCGTAACAGTTGAATACTTAAATATTTTACATCAAAACTTGCAAAAATGTGGTGATGTAACTCTGCTGTATTAAAATATATTTTGTATGTTTTTTTTATTGACCTTGTAGCTATTATAATTTTGCAATACTCATTAGCTTCTAGTAGTGAATTTGTTAATATTACTTTATAAATTTGAACAATTGTATCTAAATATATGTATATATCTTTACTATTGTAATCGAAATGAATTATTGTTTAATAATTGTATGTAGTATTTAATAAATTGGTTTAAATTCATGTATTGCTTTATATATCCTCGTAATAGCTGACTACTTAAATATTTCGCCATAAAACTTGCGAAAATGTGGTGATCTGCCGTTCATGGTGTCCACTTATTCTAATCTAGTTGTATTAACATATATTTTGTATGTTATTTTACTGATCTTTTCATTATGCTAAATGTAATTTATCTATCATGTAATTGAGTGTTTGTGGAATATAACCTACAAACTATTTCTTCGTTGGCATAATTTAGTGCAGGGTGGGTTTTTAATCAGAAATATAACTGTTTTCCACAATATTACAAGTTAAATACCCTGTAATTGATTTTGACTGGAATGTATTCAAAATAGATAAAACCACTTAAAACTTACGTATAAATTGTATATACTGTTTTCTTGTCCATTCATATTTGTATATTCACTATAAAAAATTTTGTTAGCTCGGTGTCTATAAAAAATTAATCTTATGAAGATATCCGTGTAACTCCATCTGAATAAAGCCTTCCACAAAAACAACATTCTCACAGTATTCTGAGCTTACAAAACTTAATAATTTCATGCATTGCGTCAAAGGTTTCAAAAAGTTTGCTGTAATTTTTACTGCACTTCCAAGGCCTTCTGTTTTAATCTCTTTTACTTAAGACATCAAAATTGCTGCTTACTGGGTTTTATTCTAAAAAGCTAAACTGACCTTGGTACACACTTGTTTAAAAATATATAATATAAGTTCACTAAGTATTATACATAAAACTCCTTGTTTTAAACTGCACTAGCGTTCTCAACCACGAAGTAATGGTAATTTTTTTCCCCAACAGCTTTTAAAGTTCTACTGCAAATCGGTTTAGCCCAGGTAAATGACCAACTTAAGATATCCTCACTTTAAACTAAAGACCCTGTATATACTTTCGATATCAAACAATGTTCTGAAGTTATTTATTTTTTAAGTATAATAAATAAACTATTAGGTATAAGGTATCTAATTAAAATTTATGCTGACAGAAATTTAAATGAAATAAAATGTCATATTATAATTTTTGACTTACTGACTTTTGACTTTGACTATATTACGATGTATGCCGATACAGTGATTTGATAGGAAATAAGGTAGCAGGTGACAAGGCTGTACCGCACATGCATTGAATTATAAATTTAATGTTGAAGCTTGCACCAATTTAGATGAAGCGTTAATCGAACATTTGCCCTAAATAGAATGATTTAATGATTGCTGTTTATAGTTCATTAACTTCTCTTACTCTGGTATTGGTATCATTGGTATTTTTGCTAACATACAGATTTTAAATTAATTAATTAAACTATCAGTTACAAGTTGTTCTATACATACATATTACATTTTTGATGATCTTTAATATTAAATTTTCTGTAAATTCCACATAGTCAAACGCTAGCATGCATGCGTTGAATTTTAGAGTTTTATTATTGTTGTTCCACCGCCAATCCTTTCTATGCAACCGCTTGAGTCATAATATTTAATTTTAAATTTAGCACCAATCCACTTATTCGTTTCTGCACATGCGTTTCAATTTTACCTTTACTTTTGAATTTACCACCAATAATGCCCGGCCATTTGTCTCCGCGCATAATATTAAACAAGTATTACATTTAATTCTAAATTTACAATCGGCGCGCACTCTGCCGATTCTTACTACGCGAACCTTTAAATCGTGTTATTTAATTTTAAAATACCCTTCGACCCCGCTGAGTCAATCACTCCTCTGTATATGTGTGCCCGGCCGTTAATGTTACTTTCCCGCGATAAACCGCGTCGTCAGATTTGAATTTCCTAGCAATTTGAATGTCGCGCCCCGCTCGGCCAATTAAATCTACCATGAATCTACCGCCAATTTGAATGCTGCGTTCTGATTGGTCGATCAAACGGTGGGGTGTGGTCTAAAAGTGGAAGGGTGGGGGTGGTCTATACCGCCGCCTTACCTACTATTGTAGAAAGGTATTTCTATATAAATTTAAATGACTTACAACACAAATCCGTCTTCAATTTTGATACTAAAAAAAATTAGTATAAATACATTTATAATAATTTCATGTCTATATCTTATTTACTTACCACTCCATTTTTCTATACCAACTGATGCACATGCACCGGCTGTACCCTTTTTATATGTAAAAAAATACCGTAAGCATTTTTTAAGGAATTATCATTTAAAATTTTCAATAGTAACTTGAGTATTGTGAGATTGCTACATCAGCAGTTTTTTTGGGATATGCCAGGCCTTAAAAATTCTCTATAGTAACTTTAGTGTGTAAGACTGTAAGCTCAGCATTTTATAAATTGGGATAAGTCAGACCTCCAGAGTATTTTATTTTGTCTATTTTATACACACCTGATGATTAGAGTTTCATAGTTTTTTGCCGTCAGCATAATGTAGATGACCTTGACGGTGTTTCGTTAGAGGTTTTTTGCTGAGCGGGTTTTGTAGATGGTGTTTGCGGTGAAAATAATTAATACATATTAATACAATCCTTACAGCTTAAATCTAAAATAAAATATGTTTAATAGCGCTGAAATGAAAATATATTTTCTCTACAAGTTGGGGATACCCAGCTGTAGGTAGAAACTTGTTTAAAAGCCAGACAAAATTCCAAGAAAAGGATAATAAATCATGTTTTACATTGCATCAAACACTTGGACCGGAAATGGCGATGACATCATGACTACAATTTCAAAAATAATTCAAAATATTAAGCCTTCAGATTGTTTTTACTTTTAAAATAAAATTCATATTAATTGTTACGCATTCAATTGCTAAAACTCCAGCCGTTTTTAGAACGCCCTTATAGCATTGTTTATTTTATCTTCTTATCTGATATGAGCTGTGCAACAAAGAATTCCCAGACGATTACGTCACTCTCACATAGCGCTCGTTTCTTAAATTTTCTACCTTCAAAAAAAATTGGTACCAAGAGGCCGTCGCCGCCGCCGCCCCCCGCCACCCGCTGCTTGCATCGCCGATCAACACCGGCCGCCCGCTCCCCCTCGTACACCGACACCCCGCTGACCGCAGCCGGCTTCCAGCATCGCATACCTACCTAATACAACGCATATCCAGTACATGAGCGTTGTGGTCTAATGGGTTGTGTGCTTGCCTCGCAATCCGAAGAACCGGGGCTCGATCCTCACAGCCGACATAGGTTTTTTTTTAAATTATTAATTCTTCGCCAACAATGACGTCATCCACTGACTAAGTTTCCCGGCGAGGAGGCGGCCGGAGCTTGGGCAGGAGCGAGAGCGGGGCCAAAAGGAGGAGTGGAGGGGGTAAAATTGGTCAAAAATTTGCAAAATGAATCTCCATAAGAAAATACATGGGATTTTGTCACAGTACTCACATAGTATATCTACTACGGAGTTATGTAGCTGCAACAACGACAGCCACTGCTGCAGTAAATGCAGTAATATTTCGTACGTGGTATGTGGTGGTTTATTTCTGCGAGCGGCACGTGTGAATATTTTCGTTTAGGCATCTATGGATGTTATAGTTATTAAAATGAATAGCGTTTCGTTTCAACAAAAAACTTTATTTGGTTTTCTGCCTTATGAGGATAAACTAAATGTAAAAGAATTAGGTGGGCCAACACCACAATTAAATATTGAAGTTAGTGGAACAAGCCGAAGTAAAAGTTATAAAAGACAATTTAACAATAATTTATACACAAAAGCAGAGCGGGTGTGCGGGTGTGATATAAAAAATACACTGTTTAGTTTTCCGTGCTTATTTTTCGGTGGGGATAAAACATGGACAATATACCAATATGTATTATCTAAAATTATAGATTGCATAACATTTTGCGGAGCTTTCGAATTAGTACTTCGCGGACACGACGACACAGAAAATTCGGACAACCCTGATGTGTTTCGTGGACTCATAAATTTTAGTGCAGATCTTGACGACATTAAAAGAACATCTAGCCACGTGGGTATGACCGGGATTTTCTGTGATTGTACCGGGAATTAGCTGTATGGTCCCGGATTTCGGATTTGCACGTATAACGGAATATAATATATGTACATATAAATAAAGATAAAGAAAATGAGGAAAATTAAAATTCGTTGAATCGTTGGTAAACTTCACAAACGATTTTTTTGTTTATAAACAATATTTAATAATTTAATAAAATATATTTAGTTTATTCCAATTTATTTATACCGACAGTAGGTAATTCGTGAATAGATATTTCAAAAAGGTATCAATTTCAAAAATCGGTCTTGTGAAAATCTGTATTTTTGTATAAATGGATTGTTCCTTGAAATTCAGAAGTGCCAGGAAAACGCGTGAAAATTTTAAAATTTTTTTCCTGCGGCGCCATTTAGGGACTCTCCGGGCACTTAATATCACCGAATTCAATACAACAAACGTAACAACCCTAAGCAGAACACATTCAATCAATGTTCACGCGTCGCCACTGGTTCAAATGATTTTGTTATAAATTTGCAGGATTATTTGATAATTGATAAATTT